TTTGATTGCACTGCGGATTTCTTTTATTACTTTCTAAAACTTTTTGTTTTCCCCCTTTCTGACCACCCGATCTTCTAGCAACCACGTCCCATGAACGCATCCGCTTACAACTGTCAGGAAATTTGCAAGTTAGCTAAACATTTTAATGTAACGCTTAATTTGAAGGAGAGTTGTTCGAGATGATCAGGGAGCCTTTGGTCATTTAGATTATGACATTGGTGACTTTATCGTGGAGGAAGTTTCAATTCAAGATGATGACATCCCGACCGTCAACTCGAATCGACAAGAAGGCGCCTCTCTTCGCACCCTTGCAAGTGCAACAGAAACTTTGACAAATTCAGTGCCGATTCTTGGGATTAGTGAATCAATGTCACAGCGAGATTTCATTGTGGAACAAGATGAAGCCGAATATGTATGTTCACACTTCTTTTGTCAACCATGCGTGACACAGCACAGGCAATTGCAGTTAGGTACTGGTGTGACTACCATGTTACATAAATTCGTCAACTCGAAAACAGTGCTTCCAATTTTTCAGGACTGATGTTTTGGGAGAGATCGTAGATACTCGGACTTGAAGAAACGGATATTAAACGTTGCAGCAGATGAAGGATCGGTGAGGACAAAACAGGAAAGGGATCCCGGATTGTATTTTAAAACTTGTGTGCAAAGTGTGTCCCAATACCCCGAACTTAAAATACATGGGACAAGTGTGGATCTAATGTTCAAACTCAGTTTTGTGTGTGAAAATTCTGTGAAAGGGAAGGAAATCCATAACTGAAGTTGTCTTGGAATATGTGTATTGGAGTTTTCGTTTATCGTAAGTACAATATTATCTGGATAGGCCTAATGTAAGTCAAAACATCAAGGATATTTCGTTACTTATTTATTAGTTGCTTATGTGCATTGTTATGTTGATACACGTAACATATTCATATATAACTGTAGAATCCAAATGACCAAAACTAAACAAATATCTGTAATTTTCGGACTGAACTGAAAGATTCTTGTCGTCAATTTCGTATTTATGTATCGTTACTGTTACATTAACCGAAACTGTTGTTCTGCTGCTGTTCTGCCGTAAAAATATACAAAACAATACACTTTGACCACAGATACATTGAATGTGTCACATGAACACATGCCCATGTGCTTTGCTATTTATAGCGCAACCGTAAATAGGCTCCGCCCACTCCGCCCATTGATGCAGACCTCAAACACGATCGATTCGATTTTTTATGACAAAACTACAGAGAATTTATTAAATTATATGTAGATATGGAGCCATTTGTGGTATCCAGGGTCTGTCATTCAAGTTTATTCGAAGTTTTACGGTCAATGGTGACCTTGATTGGGAAAAAGCTTCTCCCGACGCTCGGTTATGTTCACATTGTCAGTCATTGTTCGAAACTGAAACAGCACCACCTTTCGGGCTATCTATAGTCAGGGTGGGGCTTTTAACACTATATCTCAACTACATATCAAGACTGATGATGATAACAAATACAGTTTTGCATTCACATGTATAATATGCTAATGTTACGATACTCACGTTAGAATTCGAGCAGTTGACAGTTGGTTTGAAAAACCATTACGATACACATACTTGAATGTGTTAATATCTATGCTCATGCATGTCCCACTGTTATTTGATCAAATATTATCTTCATTGTTTTGTGCTATGCTTGAAACTGTTGGACAGAAGCAAGGTCCTGATTAGTTGCATTTAAGGCACTGGCAGTGCTGTGGAGTTTAGCCACAAGTTCATTCACCTCAATGGACGTGGACAGTTTCGTGAGTTGATACTTGACTACGCCCAGCCCTTTTTGTGCTACGTGAATCTCTGTTTCGACGGCAGTCAGCTCATCAGTAATTTTTCTAATGAAACTTCCACTACTTCCACTGGTTTACATTACAGAGGGATTTCAAATTGATAAATCATTTGTATTTTTGGCCCTGAAATTTTGTAAAAGCATCTGAAACAATTGAGATGCATCATTAGTTAATTTATTCGTAATTATTAGTTTTTATATAAGGTTTTATTTATTACCGAAATTTAAGTAATATTTATCATTTTCATCCGCATGTCTTCCATAAAACATTTTGAAAGCTTTTGCTAAAGGGCTTCAATGTTGCAACGCTGATCAACAATTTTGAGCAAGAGTCTCTTTAAAATATATCTTCAGAGAAAGATCATGCTCGATTGTACCTCATAAGTTGTGAAACGTAGACACCAAAGGCTGGATCTGCTTGTACATGGTCCACATAAGGAGAAAGCTGACTTTTGGAAGTCATCCCTTTTGGAGCCTTGTGGAGATTTATTTTGTCACTCTAAACTTTTATGCATTGATCTAAATATGAAACAGATGAGGCAGCTTCACTGGTCTCTTTTACTTTTAGCTCAGGTTGGTGAATCATAAGAAGAAAATTTAATATTGAACGATAGAAGATCATCGCTATATATCTAAAGCACTCGTAAGCTACACTTCATGACGAAGTTCTCTTTTTTTATTTTCCAAAGTTGTATGCATAAAGAAAAAGATCACCAAGGAGGGACGCACAATCTTTGCCCTTGATCGTGAGGGTGCATACTTCATGTCCAAAAGTATTATCTCCAAATCTAACAGATATGTTATCTATGAGAAGGTCTATCTTTATTTTCGAAATTGTTTTCGCAGGAAATTTCAGATGACATCCGCTGTCATTTTTTGTCAATTTGTCCTAAACCTCTGAAGATAGATATGTAACTGTACCTTAAGTCACCACATTTAGTGATAAATTCCGCATGGAAATGTTATGTGTGTGTAAAGAAAGCCCTTCTTTGATCGTATTAAGGATTATGGTTATTCTTTGAGACAGAGTTGAGTTGTATATTTGCTATTCCCAGTAATATCTCTCGCTTTGTGCGGATTTTTATTGATCTTTGTAATCCAGTACTATGATGAATTGTCATGTCCAACTAACGAATTGGACATAAAGGGGCCTACATACTGTTCTATTCCTCGGAATATGACATAAGCTTACGAACAAGGAGGACATTACGTACATAATATGTTTGTGGTTTTAGTGTGGAAGATATGTTTGACGAATATTTTAAATAACTGATTTCGGGTACATAAGCTTGGAAATGTAAGTGATTCCAAGGAACGTTCACCATAGAGGAGAGGTGAGGTGAGGTGAGGTGAGGTGAGGTGAGGTTTAACGTCGTGTTCAAGATTGTGGGACTTCGATTTAGCGACGTGCATGTACGCGCGTGCATGCGTACGTCTGTTTGTGTTTGTGTGTGTGTTTGGTACTCTGGACTAATGCCGATAATATCGTGCTTGAGATCGATGAGAAACCATGCCGCACTTTAACGCGAATACCTCTCAGATACAGTACACTGACTCCGAGCCGACCTGTTCTTGTGTTAGCCCCTTAACGCCAAGCTAACAACAAGTACCATCTCTCATGACAAATATCGCCACAATCCAGAAGTCAACTTCTTGTTAATAAGAATGTATGTGAAGAAAAGTATGAACCAGAATATCAAGCGATGTCGAGCTTCGTTGTCGAGTTTGATTGCACGCCATCAGCACCATCGCTCATGGTAACCACCAGATCTTTAATCAACTCTTGAGACAAGCATAAAAGTCCCTACAAGTTCATCATCATTGTATGTGACATCCGCAGGACAATACAAAAACCTTCATGTTGGTTTAATGTTGTACAGTCTAAAAAAGGTCACTCTCTCCATACATACATATTCTTTGCGGTGACTCATCAGTACTTGTTCTATGTACATTGAAAAAATTAACAATAATTTTTATTGTTTTAATTAATGTCCTTGCACATCACAATTAATAACAAAACACAAAACGGTGTCGAATAGCGAATTTCTGTACAATCATTTCATGTGAAGTATCCAATCCAAATCCAAGATGGCTGCTACTGACGGTTTATAGTTCATGTTAGGTCAGTAACAACCATCTTAGATTATTATTGATGGTATTCGAGCTCATATTGGGTCAGAAGTTCTCTTCTCTGATCGGTCAGTCTCGACTTGAGGCATGATAATATTACATATTGTTCGAGCTTATGTATCATCGATCCTGCTGGAGTTCACACTGAGATTGACTTTCTGGGGCGACATTTGATTTACAGAGCTTTGTTACTTTAGCTTTGAACATAGATAATACGTTCATCACTGAGTGCGGTATTATGTAACTTATCAAATCAACAGTATGGACGTTTACATGTTCGCTGCTAGTTCCATGCCTGTAGAAAGCTGCTTCCGGCGAATTTCAGAACTTTCCCGCATCTGTGTGTGGATTAATCTATTGCTTCACGAGAATATAAGGTGCCCAAATGTATGTCATTGTCGTCAGTATCAGGTATAATACGGAGCCAGATCCATATTAAAATGAATATGCTGAACATTTGTAATCTAAACAATCTCAGAAGCTATAGAGAGATTTATAGGAAATTGGAGATAATGTAGCACTAAAGTTGTATTCCACTTGAGACATGTTAGTGTGTTACACTAAGTATGTGTTGTTGTGTAAGTATCGCTGATTGGCGTGTCTCTTACTGGTAATGGGGGATCGGGTTAGTAATTGCATCACGGTGATATACTTCTCACTTTTCAGTGGGCCCACGTGCCTTCAGACCAGTGGAGATCTGGGGTAAAATAGGTCTTCAGCAACCCATGCTTGCCGAAAAAGTTGAATATGCTTGTCGAAAGAGGCGACTAACAGGATCTTGTGGTCAGGCTTGCTGACTTGTTTGATGCATGTCATTGATCCAAGTCGCGTGGATCGATGCTCATCAGGTCAATCTCTGGATTGTCTGGTCCAGATTCGATTTTTTTACAGACCTCCTTCACATAGCTTGAATATTAATGAGTGCAGCGTTAAACAACAACAAACAAACAAACATTAAGGTACCAATTCGGTAAACAATATTAATTAAACCAAACACGAGAACTGTATAAGTAAGTAGTTGTAACAAGAAATTAGAAAGACTTTTCACTGTATATCGGTTTGTATTTGAAATATCAGTGGACACATTGCAACGTTTTACAGTCTCAAAGAACTTGTTAGGCTTGTGCAGTTAACCATACAGACATTTTCCCCTTAAAAAATGATTAAGAGATTCTAGCTGTGGGCCTGTAGAAGTGCCCCGCCGTAGCTGGAGTAGTCTCCCTCGATCCGTGCCGTTCCCGCGTCTCTAATGTACCATGTCTGGTCCCCCACATCCAGATACACCACCGTCAGGATCAAGGTGTCATCTTCATTCTTCTCTGATGAGGGGTTCTCGCCCCATGCTCGGGCGATCCTTTCCACCCCCTTGTACAGCGAGATGCCCAGATAGTCGGAGAAGTCATATGCTATCATGTTGGCCCACAGTATGTATGTCCCGGCGAGGGGAGCAGTGAAGACGCCTGTCGTCGCGTTGAAGCCACCCCCGTGGTTGTACTGAACATCGTCGAACTTGATGACTGTGTTTAATGCAGGTCTAATGTGGGCAGACAGTCGAACTTCGTATGCAGCGACTGAAGAAAAGAGAGAATGCTTGATTCATATTACTTGTGAGTGACCTTGTTATGGCCACATTTTTGAGGTGACATGAGGTGAATACGAATACAGAAAACTATTTGAACAGGGCAAACAGTCGAAACTATCCTGCATCCCGTCTCGCACAGTTATTCATGGAAAGAGAAAGTAGACACTGTGGCAAAGCGGAGGTCAAACCAATTCCCTTCAGCAAATTAGAGATAACACACAAAACCGAAGCCTTCATAGCCCAAATATGACAAGCCCGATGGTACGCAATGAACACAGGCATGTGGCTATACAAATTTCAACTCAAAATCCATGAACAACCACACTCATGCTTAAGTGAAAGAAAAGTTGAAAAGTCAACTCACACCTCAGACTCTGTCACAAAAGGCATTTTCACAAGGCACAGCCATCATGGAATCACAAGGGCTACATCGCTAACTTGTTCAAATGTGGGTTCACTTAAAAATCTGTCGTAGATGTCCTGAAGCCCAAAAATGCAAAAGCGAATACCTATGTCTGAAAGATGGTCAGCAGCTCGAACTTATCTGAACACAACATCTACAGCAGCTTTAAGAAGTCTCCTCACCATGTAGAACCTCCTCAGAAAGCGCAACCAAGAGCAAGGAAACCTCGAATAAAACAACCAGCAAAATTGGTCAATATATTTATAAATTAGATGGAGTCACATCTTAATGTGGGTTCGTTCCCCTTAATATTTACAGAAACCTCTCAACCAATATTAACTTGCCACGTCACTGTTTCGGGATTGAGTCTCCATTGCTGTGGTGTTCGGCAGTGAGTTCTTACAACCCTTGGTGGATGTTAAGAAAAGTTTATTATCTTTGAAAACACCAGAATACAGACATCCCCTGCAAACCAAATAAGTATTTGGTGGTTTGGTGGTTGGAGGAGTGGGTGCATGAGTGCGCAAGTACGTGAGTGAGTTGATATAGACAATAATGTCAGACCCCTGGAACAGACACTGACAGATTTCAACTAAAAAGCAATACACCACTTTGCTGTTCCAACGGTTACATATATTGTATGTGATAATACATATAGAAGCACATACGAAACACATGTGCAGTTAACTATTCAATGGGCCCTAGAACCTTCATTGATGAAGATTCCGCTCCACTCATTTCGTTAAGTACATGATACGTAGCAATGGAGTATTGCTATTTGATGATTTCACGGTAAACCGCCTACCGACAGATCCGCCCGCATGTAGCTATAGTCCATTTAAAATGACGACCGAAAAAAAGCCACAAAGCGCTTTCTGTAATTATAGGAACCTCTGTTTATAGCAGAGGACATTGTACGATTCCGATTGATTCCATCATAAGAACGTGTTCGCAAATAGGTGAAATTTACTATTTTGTGAATAATAGAAACGAAATATACAAATGTCATCAAACAAAAAACACATGAGAGCCACATTGTTTTGTGTTATTTGATTGTCAGGTAAACGAGTGAAACTAGTAAATCCAATTCCAATATGGATTCCTCATTAGTGCTGGACTGAGGTGAAGCCTGTGTGACGCAAAGCAGACACAATATTTACGTATAGATATACAGAGACCTTTGCTTCCATAGTTGAATGAACACTAAAGTCCATGCCATCCTGACTCTATTTCCCGACACGGTTTCCGATATAAACAATACATCTTAACTAAATATAACCACTTATGATGATAACAAAGACAGTTTCACTTTTGTATGTGTAACAAAATGATGTCATGATACTCAGGTTAGAATTCGTGTTGTTGACAGTTTGTAAGAAAAATCTTTTCCAAACACACACATCAAATAATAATAATATATATGCTAATGCCCCACTAGTATTATATTTAATATTACCTTCATTGTTCTGTGCTATGCTGGAAACTGTTTGTTTGACAGAAGCAAGGTCTTGATTCGTGACATTTAAGGCACTGGCAGTGCTGTGGAGTTTAGTCACAAGGTCATTCAGCTCGATGGACGTAGGCAGTTTACTCAGTTGAAACTTGACTACGCTCAGTTCTGCTTGTGCTGCGTGGAGCTCTGTTTTGACGGCGTTCAGTTCAGCAGTTGCTCCCTGTGACGGAACATACGCACACTACCATTAGAGTGACTGTCTCACTTTACAGAGGGATTTTTCAAGTGGATTATTCATGTATCCTGACAATGGGTAAACATATCGGACAAACTACTGTAGATGTTTTAATAATATATTAATTACCTTTTGATAAAATCAATACAATGTATCATTAATAATTTTATTAATATCAATGGCATCAGACAATGATAATATGTTGGACGAACCCGTCGTCAGATTTATTGACGGCCAGCGAATATGGACCAGACCAACTGGTGTTTGATAGCACGACCACGATCCACGCCTTTTGCTTATGCTATCACACAATTTTCAAGTTTAAACACCAATTTTAGTCTATTGTATATTCCGACTATATCATAAGCAAGTGTTTATGAATCCCTATCAAACAGTGATGATACCAGGCCCATTAAGGTCAGCCCCACCTATGGCACCCGTCATACACATGATAAGGCAAAGTAAATTATTCGCCTGGAAAAAGAACACGGGAATTTTGGAAATATCAACCATAAGTGTGGAGCTGCTGAAATACTACTCGACATAAAAAAGTTGTCTTGTTGAAAAAAATGTTGAAGTCATCTTTCTTGTCATTTAGTCCCATAGATAGTTTTTTGTCATTTTGAATCTTTATGCGTACATCTAAATATGAAACAAATAAGGCTGTGTACCTGGTCTCTTCTTTTTCCAACTCAGGCTGGTGACGTATCAGCAATATCAAATCATTGATGTTTCTGAAGCTTATTGTGCTATTATTTTCTTGCTTTATTCTGTTGTTTTGATTTTGCCAATCCGAGGAGACATTAAGATTCATATGCTAAATGCTCTCAATACTACTGTCGAACCCATTCGACAGGCGCAAAGTCGAAGGACATCCCCAAATGAAACTCGCTCTAATTGTTTTAGGAGTAGGCTTTGCGTATATTTTAAGTTACGTATGGTAGGCATAAATGCTCAGCTTGCAAAGTATCAAAACTTTCAGTAGTTTATTTAGCTCAAAAAGAAAACATCGCGAGTTAAGAAAGTCTCGACCAAATTCATTGACACAAAATTACCAGAAACGGCCATTGTTGACTTTGCAATCAAATATTTTCTTTATCATTTTATCATTTTTCATATTCGATCATAATGTTTTGTTTGCTGACAAAAGGAAAACACTCAAGTTCATTAATTTCTAAAAATTAGCAGCTTTCAATGTAATTAATTATAAACAAAACCAATCTGAATCGTAACATCATCGATTGGATGGAACTTGTACGATCATGACAACGGCGGTAAACAAACAACACCACATGCATAGTGATCCTGTGAGACTATTACAATAATTTTGTTACACTTAACTTAATTTTCTAGAACTATTGACACGGATGTATAAATCTTTGTAAAAAAATATCTCATTTTTATAGAGTGTGCAAATGATTTCGTTTGATAAACTTTCAGACATATTGATTGGCCGACAAACGTCAGTGACACGTTCATGCGTGGCCTAACTCGCGATTTGTTTATTTGAAAAAAAGTCAACAAACACTGCAAATAATGATAAATATATGATGATACGCAAAATCTGAAATGATATATATTCTAGGTAAACCACTCAACAGCAAAATAATGCAGTTTACGAAAGATAGTAAAAATACATGCAATTTTAGCTACCATTTCTGAAGCTAGAAGCACGTACCGCATGACACACATCGAAGCGAAATATGCAAATGTTGGTAAGCTATCATAAAAAACATTCCGAAATAGATACAAATTCAAAAAAATACACGTGGTCTTTGAGTGAAGCCAGTCCACATTGGCACAACTCAAATTTATCGACTGTGTAGGAAAGTAATAAATTCTTGACACTGAACAAGAGGCCAGTAAATTGGTAAACCGTAAGTTAATTGTAGTTTTTTGACAGAAAAGTGATATAAATATTTACTTTTTCATACAAAAGTAATTTGCGTCTTTGAAACTACAAAACTGTTATGCCAAATTATCTTGGGTACAAAAGCACATACCGGTTTGATAAAAACTTTCAAGATATGTTACAAACAAAAAGCACATTTCAAATGGATTTCGTGGAACGATTGGATGAAAAAAATTCTTATCAGTTGAATTCCTTTTCACATTTTAAAACAAGTGTTTGTACACGTAACCAAACTCAGGTAGACGCCTCATATTTTGTCATAAAAGTAGAAAAAAACACTAAAAAGGTATGGACGCTCAGAAATGAGGACTTTTCAAGTTATAATTCTATCTAACTTGTCAAATGGTTTGATGTTGGTCTATCAAAGAAAAATCCTTATGAAATTCTTAAAAAATATTTATGACACTGAAAATTTCAAGCACTAAATCAAAGATTATTCAAGAAAAAGACAAATGTGTGTATTTTTATTGCAAATAGTTTTGTTTTTGGCAATTCTTGTTTCAGGGCAAGGGCACTTTTATACACACCAATTTAGGACCTTGTGACGCACCAGCTGATGAAGTTGGATACTGTGATTGCATACAAGGGAAAAGACAGGTTTGCAGCAGTACTGTATGCGATAATACACCACATAAGGTGCCATAAAGTCGGGGGGGGGGGGGGGGGGGGGGGGGGGGGGGGTGGCACACAGGATAAATTACATCTGACAAGGGTAATCATGTATAAAGGGACATTTCTTTTCACTCCACCCAGAAGGCTGAGACACAATGAGCATGATAAGGACCTATACTGACTGGATATTCAGAAACCCATCAAATGAAGGTTAAGGAAACAGATCAGCAAGGACAAGTACAATTTGTGCCTATCAGGATGCCTACTTCTTGCCTAAATGTCTTATCCCTAATTTCGCACAAAGGTTATCTTTGAGGATCGAATGTCCATTTTGAATCAACAGATAAACCTATATTTTATTCAATAAGGATTTCAACTAAAATGGATTGGAATCAATATAAAAAATGCAGAGGGAAGATTTCAGCAAAACATATTGACAATCAAAACTCTTTGCTGGAAGAGTATTGGTCTAGGCTGCATTTATACACCAGAATTGGGCTTCACATGGACACATTTGGGATATCGAACCCGCGCCCTCGATGTGACGAATGAACGCCTCATAACCAAAATACTCTCCCACTGTTCTTTTAACCCTCAAGACCCTTAATTGTGCTACCTTCAGTTGAGACTGTGTGGCCACCATCTGTGTTGTTGTTGATGCCTGGTCTGCCTGAAGTTTCTGTACCAACTGTTCCAGCAGGGTCACATGGCTCACTAAGTTAGCAATATCTGTCTCCCCACCGGGATTTGTCAGAGGTGCGATGAGACCAAATGCACGAGAGGACAAGAGAACCCCAAGAACAATATGTCTTAACATCATGGCATTCGGTGATAATGTGGCCAACGGTTCTGTACTGAAGACTGTAGACTATCATCAGGACAAAAATAAATGACCTGTTTGTTCCAGATGATAAGATTTAGCAGAGTGAAATCTGCACCAATCCTACATGACAATATTGCGTGAAAAGAAGATACAACAAATTAAATACCTCTTATCAATAACAGGTTATGTAACATATGCTCAAAAGTACCTGGGTTCAGTATAAAAAAAACACATCTCAACTTCGTTGGTGCTGCGATTACCGCCATTATTCAGGCCGAATCCATGTCTTTATCTAGAAGTAGGTGCGGTTAATGTACAGATTAGGCTCTTGTCCAATGAGATAACGTGCAGATGTTACAGAACACGTGTGCCTTCCCTGCAAAATGCCCTATATACATGGCCAGCTGTGTATGCCGACGTCTGTTTCAGTACTCTCTTGTCCTAATAATATACTGTCTATCTTTACAAATGAAATGGCGTAATATATAATGTCATTGTTCGCAGGTAAAATGTTTACGGGGGGGGGGGGGGGGGGGGGCACAAATGTAACAGTGAGAGGGTGAGTGAGTGAATATTGCTTTGCAACCGTCAGTATCATTCCATAGTATCTTGTACAATATGACCTACAAATTTCATGTCCATTAAGATAAAGATCCCAAACGTGTTTTTTTTATGAATCACTATCAAATAGTGATGATACCAGGTGTTCGCGAACCAGTGGTTGACATCAGGCAAACTATGGTGAAAAGCCATGTTTCGTTAGGACACGATGACACACAATCCGCCTGGTGACATTCGACACAGGTATGGGGTACTAGGGTTATTCTGCTCCGGATTCCCCGAGGACAATACTGTTGTTTACACATCATGGTTAAACAAAACCTTTATGAATATAACATCAATGTTTTGTCTGTCAGAATATGCTTTGGTTGTTGTTTGGTCGTGGTGTTAAAACAAAGTCACGCAAGTTTTCTAAACGTCTTAGCAGTGCTATTAGCATATATAATTACGAAGCGCCTCCAAGTCGTCATCAATATCCGTAAATGTCTGTGATATTATTAACCATCAAAAGCCGAATATATTTATTGTGCTTTCTTGACGACAAATGTCATAATTGGGATAACACTTTCTTAGTAAAGTACAGATTCTCGTACTTTTTTGGGTTGACTCCCGTCCGGGATTTGAGCCCACACTGTGAGTGAGGCACCCAATCGCCAGCACACAAGTCAGCGATCTAACCAATTCTCAGTAAACTACATATTCTCGTAATTTTTAGGGTTGAGATAATAGACGTTGATGGACAAATTAAAGCCAAAACTTATCTTATGAATGATTGGTAATGGGCAATGGACAATTGGGCATTTAAACATAACTTTTATAGCTGATGACATTGCTAAATCTGCAGGTATGCAGTACACGTCATAGCAAGCTGCGATCTTTATTCACACTTTAGATATTCGAAATGGAGATCTGTAAGTTTATCGTAATCTTCCGCAACTCTCACCTCCTGACCAGTTGAACTTCTTAGTGCATTCTGATGCCATTGGAAAATTCCAGGCTGCCCTTCTTTCTGTGATGTTTTGACGAATGAAATCTATTGCGTTATGATAATCTCTGTTTGCTGATATTTAATATGTACATATTGTTAAATATTTACAATATTTTAAACGTGTAATTCGATGCATACAATGCAATGTAAAAATAAGTGCGGATGCACGAAGGCGGTTATAGTCATAGTTATAGTGCGATGGATATAGGGGAATGGTAGGAGGGTGAATGTGTGTAAGCACGAATACCGATATATGAGGGCGGATATAGTTATTGTTCGATGGATGTTGGGGAATGGTGGGAGGATGGATTATTTATGAAAGCATGCGCATGGATCCATGATGGCTGACGTAGACATAATGGTGGGGAAAGAAGAATACGATGTGTGTGTGTGCGTGTGAGTGAGTGTGTGTGTGTGTGTGTGTGTGTGTGTGTGTGTGTGTGTGTGTGTGTGTGTGTGTGTGTGTGAGTGTGAGTGTGTGTGTGTGTGTGTGTGTGCGTGCGTGCATGCGTGCGTTGTGATACGAGGGTTGGCGAGCATGTTGTGAGATGATTGTGTAAGTAAGTGGGTGAGGATGTGGCAGGTATGAGTATTGATACATGCAGACTTGAGGTTGGGGGACATGGTGTGCCTGTTCTGATGTCTTTTGTTTCACTCACTTGTAGTGTTTTCTTTAACTAAAAAAAAATGTGTTACGGATTTTAATGACTGAAAATGTAGTGTCTCAAAGGTCATACTGACCGGGGATTCTACATATCTATTCGAACTACGTAGCCATTTTTATGCTGTACAATTCTTCTACTATTTCTTCTTCACACACACAAACAAAAGCACACACACACACACACACACACACACACACACACACACACACACACACACACAAACACACACAAACACACACACACACACACACACACACACACACACACACACACACATTCACATTAATTGTTTCATTAAATGTATCATCGAGTATCAGTAAGAAACTAGAAATAACTGCCTTTGTTCTGTAAATCTCACCAAGTTTCAGCTTTCTCCTCTTCCTTTGAGGAATGAGGTTTCACATTTGTAAAATGATCTCTCTTATCTGTCTGTACCATCAACTGTGCCCTCACCCACTGCAGTTTTCCCGTCCCATATTGCCAAGCAGGTCACCCACAAGGAGGAATACGGCCCTCCCTCATTCTTCCCCGCCCTTAAGGCGGGGAAGTATACGGGAAACGTTAAATTTGTGGCATGTATGTCGACATGTTGGTTTATTTGAAATTTCAAGCCACGCATTTACGGAAACAAAACATACAAATCATGTGCGTCGAATGTTGATGCTATTCTTTTCCAGCAATAAGAGATACTTCAAAATCATGTAGTTAATTGATGCATCTGACCGTTTCTGGTCATTAGGTGACATTATTAAACCATTCATGTGTAATCCGATGTCCTTTTTTCCTCAAGGACTAATTTTCTGATTTTCACGGTGTATACAAAAGAATAACTGTGCTCCGGAGATCGTAAATAACAGCATAATAAAAATTATGTTCTATATATGCTTATTTATGAACAACGACGACATCTCAATTTAAATGTAATATGGCTGAATTCCATATTCTACATACCACACTTTTGATTGTTTGGATGCTCATGTTCACTGGAAATATTTGGAATAGTTATATTCCGTATTTTGAATTAACCCAGTCCCCCGTGTGTGTTTTTTAATCAGTGCACCGCACATAACCACATGTGAAACGTTTGGTAGCAAAGTCATGATCAAAGCAAAATCGGAGTAGTGTGTCAGCGAATTTGCATCAAGGCTGTAGTATTTTTCAACCGTTTAATGGAATTCAATGTACAGCCGTAGCTCTGGTCATTCATATACTTTGTGTCCAATAGCTCAAATCTATTTGCGTCTGTACCGTGTTCCACTGACCTCGATAATCTGTTGGATGAAGGCACAGCTCTCTACAGCCACAAAGTTAACACCGAAGGCTATGAGGAGTATTTAGGTCATAATCAGTCCCCAGCAGCCACTGCCTCAAGCGATATTGTCTACATAACAGATCAGTTTTATAACTCCGTCACAGGTGCTCCAAATGTTGAAGCAGGGAAAACAAATTTCATAGAATCATTTCAAAAAGCAATATTGATATCCCCGTCACTTTTGGTAACTTTTAATGATGTCTCCATTGCAATTTTTACGGATTTCGATTCGTATGCATTATTTGACTGTCATCAGCGGAATGGTCTTGGTCAGATTGATCCGAATGGACAAGCGGTTTTACTTCTGTTTAGTAGTATGGATGAATTGTCATGTTACATCTTAACAGTATATACATATCAGGCTACTATGCTTGTCGTAAGAGGCGTCGATCCAAATTGCGTGGATCGATGCTCATGATATTAGGCACTGGATTGTCTGGTCCAGACTCGATTATTTACAGACCGACGTCATATAGCTGGGATATTGCTGAGTGCGGCGTTAAACGACAAACCAATCAATCATCATCATATGAACTCAAACCAGTCATTGTTACAAGTAAACAACATTCCACAACAGTTACTGACACTGGATAAAAAACAGTATATAGAAAAAAACCAAGTAACTCAACTCATCATGATCACAATTACTGTTCTTTGAAAGAAAGAAATACAAAAAAAAACTGACCAAAAAACGTAAAACAAGAGACGAGGAATCTCCGTTATTGATTAGTCCCGGTATTGAAATGTTCTCCAACTACGTGATAATATTTTGAGTATGTGCATCTGTGGTTGTGACAAAAAGACCTTATCTAGTATGACTTTTTTTGCCATATGGAGCCCTTAGTATTTTCATTTACATTATTATAACCAAATGCTAAGTGTAAAAAGAATGTGATCTATTTTTTGATTATGTGCATCTGCCAATGTTGTTGGCAGTTTTGATACTATTTCCACATGTTTACATTTGTGCCAGAAATTGCTTCCATTTCCTTCGATCTACTTTTTAAATAAAGACCCAGGTAAGAATAGGTCTTCAGCAACCTATGCTTGCCGTAAGAGGCGACGAACAGGATTGGGTAGTCAGGCTCACCGATTTGGTCGATGCAAAACATCATATTCCAATTGCGTAGTTCGATGCTCTTGGTGTCAATCACTGGATGATCTGGTCCAGACTGGATTATTTACAGACCTCCGTCATATGGCTGGAATAATGCTGAGTGCGGCGTTAAACAAGAAACTTGTTTTAAATAGACCTACCCTATGTCAGTAACATCATAATTATGCGTTTGTGAGGCATCACATATGGCGGGGAACTTTGATGCTCTGCATCAATGTTTTCTTGTTCCAGTTGTACCGTGCCTAGCACAATATGTTGTGGTGCCTTGCTGTGGCCAAACATTTTGTAACAATTTGGCAAACTTTGATATGTAAACAGCAAATATAATTCAGTTTTATTTCAACAAAAAACGGAATAAAATCCTACTTATTTTGTGGATACCATAACACTAAATCAAACCAATAGATC